CTTGGTGCATGTGGCCAGTGCCATAACCACTGTGCTATGGGCACCAAGCCCTTAAATTATTTTTTAAAAACGTTATTTTATGTATGTGTATATACTTTTTTTTTTTGAGACAGAGTTTGATTTGTTGCCCTTGGTAGAGTGCCTTGGTATCACAGCTTAGCAACCTCAAACTCTTGGGCTCAAGTGATTCTCTAGCCTCAGCTTCCCAAGTAGTTGGGACTATAGGTTCCCATTAAAATACTCAGCTAGTTTTAGAGACAGAGTCTTGCTCTGGCACAGGCTGGTCTCGAACTTGTGAGCTCAGGTGATCCACCCACCTCAGCCTCCCAGAGTGCTGGAATTACAGGTGTGAGCCACTGCACTCAGCCCTTTTGTTAAATTTTTTTGGTAAATTCCTACCCCTGTGCCTGAAGCAGTGCCTGGCCTGTGGTAGTGGCTCAGTAAACATTTGCTGAGCTGATGGATGGATGTTACTATTTGGGACTGCTCAGATTGCTCAGAGGAGAAGCCACCCATCTCCTTTCTGGAGACAAAGACTTGTTTGCCATTTTCTACAAACCAAGTGGTAGTTGAGGGTTGGGGGGTCTTCCAGGTTCCCTCGTGCTGCCTCGCTCAGTCCCTTCCTTGCAGGGGACAGAGTGGCCACACATCTCAGTTCAGAGTGTCAACCTGATACCATCATGTGTCTGTCATCCTTAATGGTGGGAGTGTTCTGAGAAATGTGTTGCTAGCTGGTTTCATCATCATGTACACACCATGGGGTTTGCTGAGCCATTCTAGGGACCAGCCCACTGCACACCGGGGCTGGTTGTGTGGCCTCAGCCCCGACTGCGCAGCACGTTACTGTGCTGGATGCTGGAGGCAGTTGTCATGCAGTAGTGTCTGTGTGTCTAGACATGGAAGCAGGGTGTGGACCTAGGTACTTGGGAGGCTGAGGTAAAAGGATTGCTTGGGCCCAGGAGCCTGGGCAACACAGTGAGTCGTTTCAAAAAAAGTTAATTATTTAATCTGGATTTTGTGTTAGTGTAAGGTGAGGGTAGGAGTATAACTTTAATTTTTATAAATAGCTGCCTGCCTTAGCACCGTGTTAGGTAACCACCCCCCCCCCCCCCCCGACCTTTGGTCACCTGGTTTAGCCCATAAGTGGAGAGACATCAGGCAGCATACACATAGCCCCTGTCTGTCCCCTCTCTTAGGAGAGTCTCCTGTATTACATGATGGCGGGCAGGGGCAGGCGTCTCATGCTGTCATGCCTCTCTGCTCCCCTAGCTTGGTACCAGGTCCATCCACAATAGCAGGCAGCGGCTCAGCTGACGGTGCTGTGCATCTCTGCTCTGTTGCTGTTACCCTTCTGGAGCCTGCTGAGAGCTAGTCTGTCTGTAAGCCTGGCTAGCCTGGGATGTTGCTGCTTCTGCATGCTGTCCTCCTCGCCCGGAAGTGCCCTTCCCGGTGCTCTGACCCCCTGTCCCCTGTCTAGAGCCTTTATCTCTGGTGTGCTTGTTTGCATAGTGTGACTTCTGCTAGACTGCAGGTCCCTGGGGGGAGCCCCTTGTCACCACTTAGCTTAGCAGGGGTCCTCAAACTTTTAAAACAGGGCCAGTTCACTGCCCCTCAGACTGTTGGAGGGCTGGACTGCGGGTCCTAGGTCAGCTGCTAAGCAGGACAGGCAGTGGTGGCAAAAATACCTGGCAGACCAGATAAATGTCCTAAGTGGGCTGCATGTGGCCCGTAGGCCTTAGTTTGAGGACGCCTGGCTTAGAGTAAGATTTATTTATTTATTTATTTATTTATTTTTGAGACAGAGTCTCAAGCTGTCGCCCTGGGTAGAGTGCTGTGCCATCACAGCTCACAGCAACCGCCAACTCCTGGGCTCAAGCGATTCTCCTGCCTTCACCTCCCAAGTAGCTGGGATTACGGCACCCTGCCACAACGCCCGGATATTTTTCGGTTGCAGCCATCATTGTTTGGCAGGCCCGGGCTGCATTCGAACCCACTGTTCAGGTGTATGTGGCTGGCGCCTTAGCCGCTTGAGCCACAGGCGCCGAGCCAGCTTAGAGTAAGTTTTAGTGAAATGCTTACATCTGCTAGTTTGGGGAAGGTAAAAGAATACCTGTTGCATTATTTGGATATGAGAAGTAAATGCTTTGCTGCCAGAGGTGGGAAAGGAGGCCTCAGGTTTTACCTCTTCCTGCTCTAGTGACACCAATTCTGGGGACCCTGCCCCTTCATTCTTGGAGCCTCAGAGATTCTGAGATCAGCACTTTAATCTTGTTTGCTGAAAACTGTTCCTAAAATGTCTCATCCACTCATTTAGCAGATACATATTGTGTCCCAGACTGGGAGTGTGTTGCTGAGCAGGACAGAGGAGGCCTTCTGGCAAAAATGTGACTCAGCAGTGCGTCCCGGCCTGCACACAGCGAGGGTGTGCTACTGTGGAGTTGGAGAGCTGTGCACATAGTGAGCGGGACACTGAATAGCATGTGGTCAGGCAGAGGGGTGGCCTTTGTTCCTTTGTTTTCTGGGCTCTCTGTTAGTAGTATGGAGTTTTGAAAAAGTTCCTGTGGGCTCGGCACCTATAGCTCAACCGGCTAAGGCGCCAGCCACGTACACCTAAGGTGGCGGGTTCGAATCCCCAGCCTGGACCCGCCAAACAACAATGACGGCTGCAACCAAAAAATAGCCGGGCATTGTGGCGGGCGCCTGTGGTCCCAGCTACTTGGGAGGCGGAGGCAAGAGACTCGCTTGAGCCCAGGAGTTGGAGGTTGCTGTGAGCTGTAATGCCACGGCACTCTACCCAGGGGGACAGCTTGAGGCTCTGTCTCAAAAAAAAAAAAAAAAAAGAAAAAGTTCCTGTGGATGGCCAGGTATGGTGGCTCATGCCTATAATCCTAGCACTCTGGGAGGCTGAGCTGGGTGGATTGCTCAGGAGTTTGAGACCAGCCTAAGCCAGAGCAAGACCTCCTCTCTAAAAATATCCAGGCATTGTGGTAAGCACCTGTAGTCCCAGCTGCTTGGGAGGCTAAGGCAAGAGAATCACTTTAGCCCAAGAGTTTGAGATTGCTGTGAGCTGGGATGCCATGGCACTCTACCCAGAGCAGCAACAACAACCAAAAAACAGTTGTCCTGTGGACAACTTCCAAATTTCAAAAATAATTTAGTCTTCATGTTTATGCATGCAAAATCTACTACAAACAAGTAGTGAATGATTATGTATTCAAAAAAAAATTGCACAGTTCTTGTTAAAGCTATATTGATAGGTACTTTCTATTTTGGTTGCTGATACAATGCTATCTTTCTTTTTCTAATATTATTTTGTAATTCTTTTTTACATAGGAATATAATTGATTTTGAATAGTTATTTTGAAGTTAGCTACATTGCTGAATTTTTCTGTTGTTTTTGGTAACTTGCAAGTAACTTGGTAACTCGGAAGTAATGAAATTTATTTTTTTACAAACCATTGGGACTTTTAAGTTATCATAATTGTATTAGCTAGGATCTTCAACTTTATTAGGAGTGGTGGTAATAAGCACACTTATAATTGATTTATAGATAATGCTTTTGTTTCCTCATAAAATTGATATATTTGTCCCAATGTTATCTTTAATGATTATGTCAATGTTTTGTCTGTAGTTGATGTTTTCTAAATATTCATGGAATAAAGGAGCCTGAAATAAAAAAAAAAAGAGAGAGAAAGAAAGAAAAATCTTTTTTTTTAGACAGTCTCTCACTATGTCACCCTTGGTAGAGTGCCGTGGCGTCACAGCTCGTAGCAACCTCAGACTCTTGGGCTTATGCAATTCTCTTGCCTTAGCCTCCCAAGTAGCTGGGACTGCAGGTACCCACCACAACACATGGCTATTTTTTTGTTGTTGTCTTTGATGTTGGCAGGCCTGGGCTGGGTTCAAACCCACCACTTCCTGTTTATGTGGCCGGCACCCTGGCCACTGAGCTACAGGCGCTGAGCCTAAATAAATCATTTTTCAGTGTGCAGTTAGCTGATGCTTTGGTCTTTCTTTCCAGCCCGGCAGTTTCTAGGAGGGCTGCCTGGCCAAGAGGTGTCCTGGGACTGTGGACTCAGTAGAGTCCCACAAGATGACATTCTCGCCTTTCTAGCAGAGCTTACGTTCAGGGGACTCTGAGACCATGAGGTTTCAGACAGTGACAGTGCTGTGAAAACTCAAGTAGGTAACGTGGCCTCCACCCCACACTCTGCTGGAGACTTCTTGATCACTTGTGACTTTCCTGTTTAAACTTACCACTGAGATTTAAGACAGGCATAGAGCTAGAGAGGTGTGGAGGGAGAAGCCACACACAGGCAGCGGTTCTCTGGCTGACAGCTGGTCCGTGCATGTGGCTCTTTCCCTTCTCCTCTCCTCTCTGTGGTATTTCAAAGGCTGTCCAAGACACAGCAGCCCGTTTTCCTGGGCCCTGTGCCGCCGCCTCATCTGAGAGCCTGTACAGAACCACCCTGCCCCACCTCTGGCCCCGTGTGTCCTCCGGGCTTGCTTTTTCCTGTTCCTCTTACTGTTGCATGTTCGTTCTGTGGCTGATTTTTCTTTCTTCTGCAAATTGTGTGACCACTTCTCAAGGTTTTGTCTGGTTAAGTGCATTACCAGGGGCTTAGAGTTCCTTCTGCATTTAATTAAGAGAAAAAAAGTTTGCAAGCATTCAGAAAAGATTTTGTTCACTGAAGCTGTGTGTTTCTGAAGTGCCATTTGTATGTTTTGCTGCTTGTAATCTTTGGTGTTAATTTCACTTGCTGTTGTTCATAAAAAAGGAGTTCAGAAATAAACCAGAAAAGTAGTTAAATGGGTCTGCAAAGGAAAAACAAACAGTGCAGAATATGGTATTTCAAGATCATAAATTACAAATGCCCGTAGCTCTTCTCTTCCTATATGATGCTCAGTGTAAGGTTTTCACAATGTTTGCCTTACTCAAGGCTTAACAGGAAGGAACCTTGTTATGTGATGTCTCATTCCCTTTTCTTTTTTTGTTCTAGAATGCATGACAACATGTCCACAATGGTGTACATAAAGGAAGATAAGTTGGAGAAGCTTACGCAGGACGAAATCATTTCTAAGACAAAGCAAGTGATCCAGGGCCTGGAAGCTCTGAAGAATGAGCACAACTCTATTCTGCAGAGTTTACTGGAGACTCTGAAGTGTCTGAAGAAAGATGACGAGAGCAACCTGGTGGAGGAGAAATCAAACATGATCCGGAAGTCGCTGGAGATGCTGGAGCTGGGGCTGAGTGAGGCGCAGGTATGAGTGAAGAGGGCTCAGACGCGAGTGTGAACATGATGGCTGGAAGACGGAGACTTTGTGTGAAATGATGCAGCTTCACTGAAGTGGAGGGAAGATGCTTATAGCATAACAGAAACCCACTCACATGTGGGCCGTGTACATGTAAATGGCTGTTGCTTTGGGTTTACCTGACCTTTAAAAAGCAGAGGCAGAGTAGAGGTACCCATGTCATTTGAGCAGGATTCAGTGGCTTAGGCAGCACAGAGACATGTAAGACAGATACCTTGGTAGGCCGTCCGGGATGGTTCTTGGCCGCCTGGCTGTCAGGGGTTCTTGGGCTTCTGCCCTGGTCTGCACCATGCCCTGGCAGCCTGTCTCAGGGACTGAGGGTGCTCCAGCTCCAGCTGCGTGACCCTATTCTGGGCTGGGGAAGGGTCAGGAAGGGCGTGCCTTGTCCCTTCAGGGCTACCAGCTTTCCTTCCAGGGACATGCACCATGCAGGCCTGTGGAAGGCTGGAAATGTTGTCTTCCCATTTCAGCAGTGCCAGTCCTCAGGCCTAAGAAGGAAAGGGAGACAGGATGCTGGGCCACAACTGGTTGTCTGTGTGGTACCCCAGGGCCAGATTGCTCACATATTTTGGCTACACCTGTGTTTCTGACACGCTCAACATAGACATGAAAGCATCTAGGCTTTTTCTCTCCCTGGTAACTTCTGGCTTGGCCAGTATACTTAATGGAAAGTTAAGTACACTGAAACCTGCCTTCTTTCTTAACTTTAGTCTAGGGGCTGAATGGAGCAGAAGAGGAGCCACTGCTTACCAGCTTCTGCTCTCATAGAAGAAGTGACTGTTCACACCTGATTTTATTTTATTATTTTTTTTGAGACAGAGCCTCAAGCTGTCCCCCTGGGTAGTGTGCCGTGGCATCACAGCTCACAGCAACCTCCAACTCCTGGGCTCAAGCGAGTCTCCTGACTCAGCCTCCCAAGAAGCTGGGACCACAGGCGCCTGCCACAATGCCCAGCTATTTTTTGGTTGCAGCTGTCATTGTTTGGTGGGCCTGGGCTAGATTCGAACCCACCACCTTAGGTGTATGTGGCTGGCGCCTTAGCCACTTGAGCTACAGGCGCCAAGCCTTTATTTTTTATTTTATTTTATTTTATTTTATTTTATTTCTTATAGCATAACTGTGTACATTAATGCAATCATGGGGTGCAGTGTGCTGTTTTCATATACATTTTGAAATGCTCTCATCAAACTGGTTAACATAACCTTCATGTCATTTTCTTAGTTATTGAGTCATTGTTTTTAATTTTTGAGACAGAGTCTCACTTTTGTCTCTCTGGGTAGAGTGCTGTGATGTCATAGCTCACAGCAACTTCATACTCTTGGGCTCAAGTGATTCTCTTGCCTCAGCCTCCCGAGTAGCTGGGGTTACAGGTGCCCACCATAGTTCCCAGGTATTTTTAGAGATGGGGTCTTGCTCTTGATCAGGCCATCCAACCTCCTCAGCCTCCAGAGTGGTAGGATTACGGGCGTGAGCCACCACACCCGGCCCTACATTGGTTTTTTGGATGTTTTGAGCATGTGATATTTCTTATTACACCCCGTTAAATAGTGTATAGCTGAAGGAGAAAAGAGAAATAAATGGCAGGTTTACTTTCTTACTTTGGAGAAATGCCTGTGTATAAGCTAGAGCTGCCCCCCGCAGGACACCGCACAGATGGGCATGCTCGTTAGACGGTGAGCTTCAGCTGCATGCATGTCTTTGTCTGTCTGCCCAGGTCATGATGGCTTTGTCAAATCACCTGAATGCCGTTGAGTCAGAAAAACAGAAGCTGCGTGCGCAGGTCCGCCGTCTATGCCAGGAGAATCAGTGGCTGCGGGACGAGCTGGCCAACACGCAGCAGAAATTACAGAAGAGCGAGCAGTCTGTGGCACAACTGGAGGAGGAAAAGAAGCATCTGGAATTTATGAATCAGCTGAAAAAATATGATGACGACATTTCCCCATCTGTGAGTGGCTCTGCAGTGAGTGTGTGGCTGACGTCTGCTGCGCTATAGTTAGCAGAACATGCCCCTCCTGCTGTCCTCTCTTGTAACTGCGTTGAGCAGGGCTAATCCTTGTGGGTTCCTGGGAAGTCATGGAAGTTCTGTTTGCCATATTCTTTTTATATGTGTTTTTTAGAATAGTAGTCAGAAAATGTAAAAATGCTGTGTGAACGGAAGGCATGATGAATGCAGAGGCACCGTGCCATTCAGCGAGGTCTCCCTAGCATGAGAGCCCCTGAACTTCCCTGCCCCTCTGCAGTCTGGTTTCTACACCTTTCAGCTGCTGGGCAGTGCTGACCCCACCCACCCCTCTGTGACCCTGGCTCTGGACTGACTGTGCAGCTTTCAGCTCTCTTGGCCTTGCCTTTCTCTTTGAAACTCTTCCTCCCCTGGTCCCTACTCTTCCTGCTGCCTCTCTCATGCCTCCAGTTGGCCCTCCCTTGCCAGCTTATCTTTGAGACAGAGTCTCTCTCTGTCACCCAGGCTGGAGTGCAGTGGTGTCATCACAGCCCCAAACTCCTGGGCTCAAGAGATCCTCCTGCCTTGGCCTCCCCGACTGCTAAGAAAAAAAGCCGGATGCGATGGCTCCACCTGTGATCCTAACCCTTCTGTTTGGATGTTTATCCTAGTCTCAGCTATTTATTTTTATTTTTTTTAGAGACAGAGTCTCACCATGTGGCCTTTGGTAGAGTGCTGTGGAGTCACAGCTCATAGCAACCTCCATCTCCTGGGCTTAGGTAATTCTCTTGTCTTAGCCTCCTAAATAGCTGGGACTACAGGTGCCCGCCACTATGCCTGGCTATTTTTTTTCTTGCAGTTTGGCCAGGGCTGGGTTTGAACCCGCCACCCTCAGTATATGGGGCTGGCGCCCTACTCACTGAGCCACAGGTGCCGCCCCAGTCTCTGTTATTTTTTATTCACCATTTTTTTCTGATTCAGTTAACTCTTTTTTTAGAAAACGCTTTTAAAGAAAACTTTTAAATTTTTGAATAATTTTAGATTGATGGCAAAGTTGAAAAGTGAATTCCCTCATACTCTTTGCCCTGTTTCCCCTTTTAACCCTTCTGTAACTGCGGAGGATGCTGGTCAGAACTAAGATGCTGGCATCATTTTACCATTAACCACAGGCTCAGCTGGGCTGTCCAGGCCTTCCGCTAGTGCTCCTTTCCTGTGGCACGATCCAATCCAGGGCTCCATGTTCAATTCAGAGCTAGTGGGGTTTTTTTTGCGGTTTTTGGCCAGGGCCGGGTTTGAACCTGCCACCTCCGGCATATGGGGCCAGTGCCCTACCCTTTTGAGCCACAGGTGCTGCCCGAGCCAATGTTTTTTTCTAATGCTTACATAGTGCCAAGCATGTTCACGTACATGGTCATTGTGTGGCAGAGTCCCACATTGTGTCTCTTGTCCAGTCCCCCATTTGAGACTATTAGAATAGTCTGTGTAAAGCACCAGCAAACCTGCACTTACTTGGGCAGACCTAACAAGATGCCACAGGCTGTGTGGCTTAAATGACATTTATTTTCTTAGTTTTGGAGTCTGGAAGCCCGAGGTTAGGGTGCTAGCAGGGTCTGGTTGTAGTGAGGGCTCTCTCTTCTTGGCTTGCAGATGGCCACCTTCTGTGTGTCCTCTCGTGGTAGAGAGCAGAGAGGGAGTAAGCTCTCTGAAGTCGCTTATAAAGACATTGATCCTATCCCAAGTGCCCCACGCTTGTGACCTCACCTAACCCATATTATCTCCCAAAGGTTCCACCTCCAAGTACCAGCATTTTGGAGTAGACCTTTAACATGAGTTTTGGGAGAACACAGTTCAGTTGGTAGCACCCTCTTTTAATAGGCGCACTGCATTTCACCCTCATGTGTCCTTGTGATTCAGGGACAACTAGCTGTTTTGACTTCAGAGATGTGCTGCTGTAGACGGCTGTGGGAATCAAAGTGCTTGGAGGTGTTGATACGAGCCACTGATTAGCCTGGAACACTGGAGAACATCCAGAAGGGGAATGCTGGTTTCATAGAATCAGATATTTAAAAATTTGATGTTTTGAGGATGGGCACAGTGGCTAACACTTGATAATCTTAGCACTCTGGGAGGCCATGGTGGGAGATTGCTTGAGGTTAGGGGTTCAAGACCAGCCTAAGCAAGAGAGACCCCATTTCTACTAAAAGAAAAATTAGCTGGTTATGGTGGTGGGCACCTATAGTCCCAGCTACTTGGGAGGCTGAGGCAGGAGGGTCACTTGAGACCAGGAGTTTGAGGTTGCTGTGAACTATGATGATGTCATTGTGCCCTAATTAGGGCAACAGAGCAAGACTGTGTCTTTTTTTTTTTTTTTTTGAGACAGAATTTTACTCTGTCACCCTCAGTAGAGTGCTATGGCATCACAGCTCACAGCAACCTCAAATTCTTGGGCTCAAGTGATCCTCTCGCCTCAGCCTCCCAAGTAGCTGGGAGTAAAAGCGCTGGGGTCAGGTTCGAACCCTTCACCCTAGGTGTATGGGGCCAGTGCCCTACCCATGAGTCCCAGGCGCTGCCCCAGGCTGGTTATTTCATACATCATTCCTCAGTTTGGGTTTGTCTAATGTTCAGATTACACGTCTCAGACAGAAATATTCTAAAAGCGTCTTTAATAGATTATCCATTCGGTTGCCAGTGTCTGTGCCTGGTCCAGCTGTTTTCTGCTTTCTGCATTGTGTAGTCATGGTTTTTACCTCAGCTCT